TGAGGAACTAAATAAATGAAAGAAAAATTATGATAATTATTTTAAAATTATCTTCCATACAAATCTCAATTAATTTATGTTTTTTTTGAATATATTGCCTTAATTATTTTAAAATAACATGATATTCTAAATATACTGTTGATACCCAAATTATTTACAATTAGTTAAATTATGACTCAATTTATATTATCCTAATCAATTCCAATTAACAATATTTTTAATCCATTTTTTATCTTTTTTATATAACAAATTACCATTAAATCTAATATAACAACAATAAACTGTGAAACTTCTTTAATTTTCTACTGAAGTAAAATGTTTTGTCAAAAATTTAAGTTTAATTTTTGCTAAGCCTGTATAGGTAATAATCTATGAGAATAATCTTTTAATAAGCATTATATTCCAACTTCATTTGAATCTGTTTAATATAAGAAAGTTAGAATTATATAGTGTTACTTATGTATATATATTAAAAAAAAGTAAAATACAAATTTAATTGAATTACTTATTATAATTAATAATTTTATTATATAAATGGAACATGGGAAAACATTTTTCTTATCAATTGAGAAATTAAATAAATTGAGGTATAATGAAAATTACCAAAATTAAATTTTAGTATTTTTTTAATACTGAAAGAATTTCCCATTCTTTTGATCTCTTAATTAATTAAATTATATATATAGATAATTTACTGATTAATGTAATAATTTAATAATCAATTATTATCACAGCATATAAATATTTATTGTTGACAACAAATTACTTCTCAAATCAGGAAGATTCTAGGTGAATTATTTATAATCTTTATTTGAAAGTGAGTAATTTCCTAAATATATAATTTTTGTTTTTTTGAGGAATACATATTAATATATATAAAATATTGTTTTTTGTTTAAAAAAATATATTGATATTGAAAAGAGAAGGATTCAAAATACTATATTTATGTTCAACTTATTATATGTTTTGTTATTATATATTCTTAATATCTGATAATTTGTAAAATATAACAATTTTATAATCTATCACAATTTTTAAAATAATGGAATGGTATAATTAAAAAATAAAAAGTACTGATATTTTTAAAACATATGATAATTTAAATAATTATCAATTAATATTTTAAGAAAGAATAATAAGATGAATGCGAGATTGTAGTTATCTAACTCAAAAAAATTTAATTTAATAATCTATTATTAAAAAAATAATAGGGTTTTAATTATAATTCATGGTGATAAAGTTGTATTAGTTATAAATATTATGTATCATTATATTAGTTAAATATTAAAACACTTAAATATTTTGTCATCTAGATGATCTTAATAATTTAAATATATTATTTATTTATTTATGCATAAATTTCTGTTTGGAAATACAAGAGTCAATAATTCCAGTTATTGTCCTTTTGGTTCATAGAAATGCCTTAAACCAGGAATCATTAATAAGATAAAAAATAAGATTTAAGATTTATTCATACCACAAATCAACTCACAAAGTATAATCTAAAGGATATAACCTTTTGAAGATTAAAATATAGAATAAGAACTATCTAATTAATTTAAAAATAATCTTGTTCTTGTAGAAAGAATTATACCAAATAATGAAGATAATATGACTTTAAAACGCAAATCCATATGTTCTTTTGAATAATACCTAAAAGAGGAATTAGATACTGCTAAAAAATTGTCTAAAGAAACTTAAAATGATTTGAGTGGAAAAATAAATCATTGTTAGATCAAAACATCAAATGCTAAAAAACAAAAGAAGTCTTAAAAAGATCATTCCAAAATTTATAAAGATAGAAAAATGGAAGGTAATATTTGTAAATAATAACAATAGAAAATCAGAAATAGTTAGAGTTCAACCTAAATAAACAAAATTTTAAGTAAAACTAAGTTGAAAAAAAAGAAAATTCCTCAGAACATTTATCAAATTGTTCTAATAAAAGACTGAAACAGTTTGATATCAATAAAGAGAATAGTATTTAATTCAAATAATAGAAAGATTATTAAACATCAATTAATATATTTGAGAATTAAGAAATTATTCAAAATGAAGATAATAAAAACTAAATGTTTGATTCATCACTAAAAAGATTAAAAACATCTTAATCTTCTGTTCATAGTCCATCAAATAAAGAATTTAATCAAGATAATATAAATATTGATAAAAAATTATCAAGTTTAACTGGTATAAACACAAGAATTGAGGCAAATGATTCACTATTAAGTTTTAAAAATGGAGATTTCTAATAAGAAATTTAGTATAATATGCAAAATTTAGATAACAATATAAAATCTTCAATTTAAAAATAACATTAAGAATATGAGTTTCAAAATATATAAATATCAAATGAATCTAATATAAAAGATTGCCATCAAGTAATTTATTCTTGTATTAAATTAGAAATAACTAGAGTTTATATAAGACAATAGTATGGTTATTCAAAAATAAGACTGTATTAATCAAAATAATTGCGAATAACAAGACAATAAAAGGGAAAATCAATCATTTTAAAAGTCTGAATAATCTAAATTAATTTTTAGTGAAATTGAAGGGAAAAAAGATTTGATGCTAAAGTTAAAACAAAACGTTGAATTAAAAAAGCATAATCATTTGATATTATAGGATATAGAACAATTTGAAAATGTAAATCTATCTAATATCTAAATAAAAAATTCAAAATAAACATAATTGATATAAAACAAAAAGAATGAATAAAATTTAGATAAATAAAGAGAGAAAATCAATTCTTAAGTTTATTTATAAGAAGATTAATTGTTGAAAAAAAAAATATCATCTTAAATTGATAAATAAGATCATTTAAATGAAAAAGAATAATAATTTAATAATGTTTAAAATGAGTAAAACAAAGAAATATCCAAAAATATACTTCAAACAAGCTTTTTAAATAATTAAAACAAGTAAATTTTAGAAAAAAATGAGAAATCAATAAAAGAATAGAATCCATTTTTGATACTAAGTCCTAATATCAGTTCTGATCAAATAAGTCTGTATTTTTAAGGAACTTCAACATAACATTAAAATAAAGAATATTAAGCATAAAATTAAAATCAACCATTTGTAGATTTATTCAAAATATCAACATAATAATCTTCATCTTAATAAATAATTAATAAAACATAGGATAAATAAAATACTTAAAATTTATAGTCAATATTTAATGTTAACAATTTTGCAAATTCAAAAATATTACCATTTTCTACAAATAAATAAATGGAAATTATTTAATAGGTTCCATAAATTACTCCGATTATTTAACATTAATCATATAATTTTGAGTCAGTCAAACTAAATTATTAGCAATAGTCGACTTAATAAAATAATCTATTTTAATAGTAATAATAATAGTAATAATAGAATTATTATTCAGAATAATCGATGTAATAGTCAAACTACTAAATATAAAATCTTTTTTCTTAATAACCATAAACTTCAAATGTAGTTTCAAGTTTAAATTTATTCTAATCTAATCCTTATTAATAATAATAAAATGACTAATTAAATTAACCATTGTATTTTAAGAATGATGTCTTATCACTTTTTTAGGATACTAAAAAATCAGATAGAGGTGATAATTTAAGTTATTTTTTAGATATATTCTAGACTTAAACATATCATTAGGCAACTTAGAGTTTGAATAATAGTTTTAACAAGGGTCGTAAGAAGTAGAGAATTAATAATTTTTGATATTTTTCCAAGAAATAATTTATTTTATATATATAAACATAATAAATCACTTAATATAGAATCTTTATATAAAATAGTTTGAATAATAGGTTCTTTAATATTTCATTATTGCTTTCAATAATAAATAATATATTTTTAACTTATAATCTTAGTTAACTATTACAAAGACTTTGAATTCTTTATTTTTAATTACTTTAGTATTAGATTAGTTATAATAATTATATTTAAAGTAGAATACTATTATACAAAATTAGATATTTTTGGATAAAACAATATAAATTCTAGAGTTTCATAAATGATTTGATAGGATATATCAAAAATTTGATAAAATTGTATACAATATTAGAAACAATAATAGAAATTGAAAGATGATTTTTGATTGGCTAATATATGTACTTTAGATATTTTTGTTTAAAAAAATTTATTAATAAATATGGCAGAGAAAATTATAAATCTAATTAAGAAGCAAGCTGATGAATAAGGTTAATTAGAAGAATTAGATATCTCAGAGATTAAAATAGATTAACTTACAACAGAGATTACAGAAAATTTGAAAAAACATTAAAAATTACAAAGCTTAGCTATTACTAGTTGTGGACTCAAGACATTAAAAGGATTACCTACTATGGATTCATTAGAAGTGTTGATTTTGGAAGGTAATCAGTTAGATGGAAGCGCAATAAAATATATATGTGAGAATTTTTAAAATTTAATCTGCTTATCTTTAGCAGGTAACTAAATCAAATCATTAGAAGTATAAATTTATATATATTGTAGGAATTGTAAATACTGAAAAATTTATCTTCCTTATAACAATTGGATTTATCAGATAATGAAGTGGAATTACAAGCTGGATATCATTAAAAAATCTTTGAAATGCTACCTAATTTGCAAGTATTAGACAATAAAAATAAAGATGGAAAGGAGATTGAATACTCTGATGTAAAATAATTATTTATCAAAGGAAGATAATGGTGAAGAGGAAGGTATTGGAAGTGATTCTGAATTCAATGATGATGAAGAGGATGATGAAGAAGAAAGTGAAGATGAATCTCCTAAGCCATAAAAGAAAACAAAAAAATGATTTTAATCTATAGATATTCAATAATTCATTTGAATAATTTATTATTATATAAGAAATGGTTATAATAATTAATCAATTCACAAAGCAATATAAAAATCATATTATTAATAAGTACATCTAAATTATATTAATTTATAAAGAGTGATTAATTAATTTATAATAAAATTAGTAGTATAATTTTTAATTAACAGATTCTATATTTAAAATGAAAGGGTTTTGCTATTAAGTTACTTTGTAAATAAGTAAAGTAGAATTATCAATCAAGTTTCCTTGTACATTATAAGTAATGTGGAAACGTGGTCAAAATAAATGTTTAACAAAAGCTAAAGAGAAAATTAAAAATATTTTTGTTGTGAATGAAAGCTTTACATTAGAATTTAATATTGGAGATAATATTCCAAAAAAGACATTTTTAGTTGTTTTACTTAATGTTTAAGGTCAATCAAAATTAGCTGGAGTTGTTAATTTTGATATTAATGAAACTATGGCAAAGGAAGGATAATGTTCCTTAAATTTAGATAAAAGTCCTGATTCAAATGCTAAAATATTCTTTTCATATTAAATTATAAATTTGGGTGAAACATATTTTACAGAGAGTAGAATCAATGAATCATTTAATCATAAATCTTTGGGTGAATCATTTGGTTTAGATAAAGAAAATTAAAATTCTAAATTGAATTCATTAAAAATATCTAATTATGATAATTAATTGAATAAAGAATTATATGAGAAAAGTCTTAAAGATCTTGATTAATCTAAATTGAAAATTTCTAATCTTTAAGATTAAATCAATAAATTTTATGAGGATAAATAATAATTATTAGATGAAATTAAGTCTCTTAAATAAAATAATTTAGAATTGAAAAATGAGAATGAATATTTAGAGAAATAAAATGAAAATTAAAAATAAGAATTATAATAATCAAAAGAGAATGGATATATAATAAATTAATAAACAGTAAAATTGGAATAAATGAATCATGAAATTTAAAATTAAAAACTTTAATATCAAATTCTTTAGAATAAATATTAGTAATGTATGTAAAAACTAAAATCTTTGGAAGAATAAAATGAATTTAATAAATTCAATAAAGTGGATAGATCTACTAATACAATTGTTGTAGAGATTCCAGAATTTATTTAACAGAATTAAACTATTAAATAATTAGATGAATAAATAATAGACTATAAGAGAAAAAATGATAAACTATTATTTGAACTAGAATTTACTTAAAATAAACTCAATACTATTGAATAAGATTTATCTTCATTATAAGTATAATTCCTTAGTTTATAAAAATAATTATCAAATTAGAAAGATTAATGTAATTATTTAGAGATTGATAATTAAAAATTAAGAATATCAATTAAGGAATATGAAGAAGATAAAATATAAAAAGAACGAAATAATATAAAGATATAGAATGATCTTTAAAAATAGAATTAAAATCTTAAGGAATAGTTACAATAAAATCAAGATTAAGTACATATATTTATATTTTATATAGTTTGAATAAATGAAAGAAAAGTATTTCTTATAGAAAGAAAAAATAGAGAAATTAAATGATGTAATTAATTAACAAAATGAAGAACTTACTATATAAAGTGTGAATTTATTAAGAGAGATATAAATAATAGCAAAGAAATAAGAATAATTTGGAATAGTTTGATTTTTTATATTTAGCTTTTTTTATATATTAATTATCCGTTAAACATGCTAAAAATCTCGAATAAGTCAAGAAAAAATGAATAATTGGAAACTATATAAGTAATTGAGAAATGTACAAGTATAAATAATTGTTGATTATTGTAGAAATTATGAAAGAAGATCGTTTACAATTGAGGTAAATGGTTAAAGATGAAAATGTGAAACTAATTGAATTGGTTGCAAAATATAAAAAAAGAAATGATCTAAATGATTTACAATAAGAATTAAGAAAGTTTCTTAAAGATAAAAAAGGATCACCTGAAAAAGTACAAGGTGCTCCTCTTATATTAAGAAAAGTAAAATCAAAAGAAAGATGTGAATGGAATACATCAATGAGTTCAAATCCTTCTATTAAATCACCTAGTAGATCTAATCTAGATTTTAGGAAAAAACAAAAAGAAGATTAATCACATAAAAAAATAGAATCATAAAAGAAATAAGAGAAAATAGATAATCAAATAGAACATAAAGAAAATGAAGAATTTAAGATACTTGATGAAATATAAGAAGTTAAACCATAAGAACAATAAATTATATTCAATACAGCAAATTCAGTTATTGATCCATTTTTTGAAGATCTAACTCCAGTTAAAATGGAATTCTAAACAATTGTTTCATAAGCACCTCTTAATTAAAGTGATTAAAGAAGTGAATGTATCTTATAATATAATGCAGCAGAAATATAGTAATATATTTAATAAGATAAACATTATATTTCTAAAGAAACCTACATAATTCCATAATTAATTAGTCTAAATTATAAATAAATGGTTAATGTAGAATATTAAAATTTATTTACAGATTGGAAAAATATACTAACTCCTTTATAACCTACTTATCATATAAAATAAGAAAATGTTTATGAATCATAATTATAAATTGAATCAGAATAATCAAAATAAAATTTAAAGACTCTTAAAACTGAACCTTCTTAACTTGTAAAAAGTTTAGAAATAAGAGGTGTAACTGCTGAAGAATTATTCACCTATTTAGTTCATCATCGATTTACTAAAAGATTGAATTTATATTAACTTATGGAAAATGCAAAGATAGCCATACCAAATGCATAATTAGATTTAGATTCTTTATTTAAATTGGCAGATACTGATGAAGATGGATGGATAAATTTAGAAGATTTAGGTAACACCTTAAGAGAAACTTGTTTAGAAAAAGAATCTCACTCAAATCCAATTAAAGAATTATTTAATAAACTTAATGGAAATATTAATATGGAAAATTTTATCAATTAAATGAATGATAGAATATAAGCAGAAATGTAAATAATTATTATTTTTATTTAGTCTCTATCATGAAATTGATTTATTTGGAAAAGGATTCATTACCTATTGGGAAATGTACAATCATTATGAAGAAATTGATAAATTATTGATTAAATGATATGCATATTTACTATATAAAAATATAACATTTCTTAATTAAATACTTAGTTTCTATACAGATTTTTCTTTATTAAAATGACTAAGTATTGATATTTAATTTAATTTTATGGTATTAATTGATTAATTAAAATGCTATTTCAAAAATATGTGAATCCATAATATTATGAAAATTTGAGAAGGTTTAAATATAGTGGTCAGAATCTATCAATTTTATATAATTGGATTCTTGGGGATATGGCATAATGGGTGGTAAACATACTATTAATACATCTTAGGTTGATTAATTACCAAAAACAGTAGCTCCTAATCTTATCACTATTACAGGATTCTGTAATTTATTAACTGCATTTGCTCTGATTTTTATTCTGAATCCTATGTTTGATTAAGATTTACCTTAATGGGCTAGTCTATACATAGCATGGACTATTTTTGTATATCAAACATTAGACAATGCAGATGGAAAATAAGCTAGAAGAACAAAATAGTCAACTGCTTTGGGAATGCTTATGGATCATGGTAGTGATTGTACTGCTACTTGGATTGCTGGATTATTATATATAAATGCTTTTAAAATTACATTTACTCCATTTAATATGTTAACTGCAATAGGAGTAAGTTTCTTAGGATTTTACTTTGGTGTTTATTGTCAATAACATACAGGAGTGTTCTAATTAGGTGTAATTAATGGAGTTGATGAAGGATTACCAATACTATAATTATTTTTCTTGATAACAGCAGTCATGTCTTCATAATTTTGGCTTAATCAAATTTAAATCACAAATACACTTTCAATTTAATATAATACAGTGTTGCTTGTAATTACTATTAGTGCATCTATTGTTACTATCATATAATTTTGTTATCCTGTATTTAAGAAGATGAATTGGAATGTTCTAACAATTTTAAAGAGTCTTTCATTACCTATTACTTTAATGATAACATTTATTAGTTTAACCTATCTATCACCAACTAATGTATTATCAAAATGGTTTCATATTTATGTTTTGACTATTGGATTACAATGGTCAAAAATGATTAATTTATGGCAATTGGCAATTATTACTAAAGAAGTAAGTATAACAATAAAATTATATAGACTTTTAATTAATTTTCATTCACTTGGGCTTTTACATTGGGATCAATTATGTTGAATTTGATATCATAATTTTTAACATCAGATGGTCTTTGCTACTTTGATGAAGTCAAAATGATCTTTTTATTATTAGCATTCTCATTTTTATCCTATCTACATTGTGTAACAAGTATAGTTTACGAATTATGTGATATTCTTGACATTTATGCTTTCAGTATCAAATACCCATAATGAGTAATAAATTATTATTATTATCATAATAAATTACATAATTTTAATTCATAATCTGAATATTCTATAAAATCTTCTTTTCTTATTATAAAATTTATGTTATTTAAGTCAATGAATTATTGTAAATTCCTTTACATATTTTAATAATAAGATTTACAGATATTATAATAGAATTAATTGAATATATCATTTTAATCAAACAAAATAAAAGTATAATAGATATAAATAAGTCTTAAAAAATGAATAATAAATTACTTGATAAATAAGTTTAAATTAATAAATTTTTAATTTGTATTTAATAATTATTATCTCTTTTGTAATTTATTATGAATGATTATTCATGTGTTAAAGTCAAAATAATAGATAAATTCAATATATAAACTATATTATTTTTAATATAAATTTATTTTTTGTTTAGAACAATTAAAATATAGAATTTATATATAATATTTTGACTCATCATCCTTTAGGCTACAAATCTTATTGCGACTATTGATATCTTAATGTATTTTGAGACTTCTTTCCGAAAATAACTTTGGAGTCATAATTGCTCTTAAACTAAATTTGAGTAACTGGTTTATCCTTTTAAAATTAAATGCTGCTTTTATATGCACTCGAATTAAATTAAGCCCATTGATTTTAAGTATTATCTTATGGAACTCTTTGAGAGTCGAGATTGAGAAATCCTGTAGGGTGTTCTGCCTTAAGTCTTTCATTATCCTCATTGAGTTGCATGATTTGAATTTTAAATTAATCGATTTGTTTATCCTTTCTATCAATTTCAAATTTATGTTGCTTTTATAAATTGTTATACTTCTATTAGACAATCTCTAATTGTTGTTTCACTTACATATTCTATTCATACAACTCTCCTAATTCAATAACAGCTTTCTACTCTCTATTGTTGGCTTCTTAAATCTACTATCTCAGATTCTAAAGTGTTGCTGTTCATTTATTAATAAAGGATACATTCTCTTCTTTGATTCTGTTCCAAATAAATGTCATGTTCTCTTTTCATATAATCTAATTCACTACACTTTTGTTTAAGTTCCCTCATTAATCTATTGATATCTTCCTTATATTTCTCTTCCATATCTTTACGTCTATCGTATTCTTATTATAATCCCTGATACTCCTCCCTAGTTACTTTAAACCTTAAGCTAAATAATTCTTACTCATCATCATACTCTCGCTCTAATTTGTTGGTCTGTTCTCTTCACATTCAACACTTTCAGATTTCAAAGTCTTAACTAACATAAAATCCCATACTTCATTTTTTTTGAAATCATTCTAAAATGAATTAATTCTATCATCTCTCATTTCAAAAGTTGAATCCCTCTAAAATAATGCATTGATTTGCTCAGCAGACATATAAACAGGCTAATTATTCATATATTATAATTATATATATATATTAATTATTCACTACACTTATACAAATTCATATAAATTATTTCATACCATGAAAAATTAAAATATATATATATATTTTACATTAACATTTATATATCAATATAATATTTATAAAAAATGCCTTAGATTGAATGTGTTGATTGTCATGTTAAGTATAATTACATCTTTAAATGTTTGATATTTAGTTGATGATTCACGTACATATGCATGCAAATGTGGTTTACTATTTGGAATTGTAAAATGCTAATTTTGCCAATTCACATAACCAACGTTTTTTGATTTAATGACAGGTGTAAATTAACATTGGACATGTACCACTTGTTAAGCAGAATCATTATTGTCTCCATGTGGTGAATGTACAAACCTCAATTTAAGAGGAATTGTATCTTTATTAATTATGTTTCTAGAAAGAAAATTCATGTAAATGTTATTCTTGCAAAATCACTAACTATTATTTAGATTGTAAATAATGTCTAACATGGTATTCAGTTAATGAATCTAAAGATAATTTAGATGGTAAGTTATTATCTTGTGTTCTTAGTTGTGAATAAGTTTAAATGCTAAAGTATCTTTCATATTTTAATATTTAGATGTACTAACTGTTAATCATTAAAGAGAATTGATAACTTCAATAATGAAATGAAAAATTATTGCAATTCGTGTAATAAATATTATTTTAAATAAATTTGTTAATTTTGTAGAGAAGTTTCAACTTTCAATTAAAAAGAAAGTCAACTTAAATAAAAATGTTAAAATAAGAAATGTAGTAAAGGTACATATTTAAAGACAGGCAAAATTTAAAATCAATAAGTTATAATAGGACAATTTATTAAATCAAATGAAATCTAATAAGTTCAACCATAAAAATAATAATCAACATCTAAATATTTAGATAATTTAGATTTAATGAATTTTGAATAAGATAATGATAATACTTAATTTAATTAAAATAAAAATAATGTTAATCTTTTAGACATTGATTAACATTTAGATCAATAACCTCAAAATGAAAGTTCAATTACTAAATGCTAAAAATGTTTTGTATATAATTCATAAATATGATTTAAGAATACTACAGATGTTATCATTACAACTCCTTGTGGACATAAAGTAACCTGTTACTAGTGTTTAGAAAATTAATTGAATTGTATTTCTTGTGGTGAACAAATATCTAATAGAATCATGAATACTTTTAATAGAGATTTTTATTAAGAAATTAAAGAAAGGATTTTGATTTACAAATAAGAGTGAAGGTTTAATTTAAAATTAAAATAATAAATCAATATTCTAGATTAATATCGCTAAAAGGCAATATCTTACTAAATTAAAACTCCAAATTGTAACCTAATGGATTTAATAGTAAATATGGAGCAGTTTATTAAATAAAATAATTTCTCAAGTAAAGTGGATAAAAAGAAAACTAATCCATTATAGTTATTTTAACTTAGAGATGTGTTTCTAAATTCTTTATATTAATTTCTTCTAAATAATTTTATTGGTATTCTAAATCTTGTAAAATACAAAAAACTTATATTAAGAATATTTTAATTAAATATCCATAAGTTCTTAATTTTATAGAATGATCACCATAAAAATTTAATTTTGCTTTTTTAGATGATAAATAAATGGACATTAAATTTTTAATCAATTTCTTCATATTTATTGTTTTAATTTTGAATTATCTTAACATTAAAATTGATAAAGTTCCTAATTTAAATTGTTAATTTAATGGTGTCTTTCTAATTGTATTAAATTATTTTAAAAGAGATTATTATAAATTTAATGAAATCTTATTATATTCAATTGGATCTAATTAAACACTTTCTTAAATTACAATTATACTATTATCAATGTTATATTAGCATAACCGTAATTTGATTTTTTTTCTTGATAATTTTACTTCAAATTCTTCATCATATTTAACTTGACCCTTTATTAATGCTTACTCTAAAGACATGTTGTTAATAATACAATTTCGAATAAAACTTCTAATATTACATCCAAAACATAAATCATTTCTATAATTCTAGAATTATTCTTAGATTGCTGTTATCTAAACATCCATAAACAATTTTTTTTCATTATATTATATCTTTGTAAAAGGTTTATTTATTAATTTATGTAACTAATTATTAATAGTATCTTGTTAATAACTCATTAAAAATTATATTCTTTATGCTCTATTACATATGTATAAAACAAATGTAGTTAATATTGCAGTCGCTACTGAAAGTGCTAAACACTAAATATCTATTTTATTAGATAATAAGATAGTTGATGTCTATTTAAAAATAATATGCATTAAGAGAGAAGGACAACTTAAATTAAAGTCAGTAGCAAAATATATTACTGCCTAAATCAATGAGAAATTACAACCATATAAAAAGTATTCCTAATCCTCTGTATTATCAGGATTAAAATTGAATTATAATGACAAAGAATAAGCATTTGTAATAGTCGCAATCTTTGCAGTCAAACCTTCTTTTTTATACATTATATATATTCCAACCATACAAATTGCAATAAAACCAATATTAATATATGAGATTGTTATTTTACCCTTCACTAAAATAATGACTAGTTGAAGAATGTTCAATGACAATGCCATAATCAATAAACCATAAAATAATGGCTTTAGATGCTTTTAATATGACTATGCCTAGTATTTTTCTTCAATTTCTTTTACTTTAAATTTAAGTGTGTACTTGCTCATTTATTCCATTTAATTATTGATAATATATCTTTTACATATCACTAATAGTATATAAACCTTTATATAATTATAAAATAAAATAATGTAGAAGTTACTCTATTACTTATTTTGTTTCATTATATAATTACTACTAAATTACTCACTTAAATTATATAAGTTTTTAGTTTAGAAATTGTAATTAAAAAAACAATTTTATAAGAATTCTTGTAGAATTCTAATTATGAATCTAAATGTAAAATATTTTATATAAATTAGGTAGAACCTAATAAATAGTATTTATATTATAGTATTAAATCATTAATAAATAATAATCTCATGGCTTAATTCAGCATTTGATAATTTAATATTTCCTGCAAAATCCTCTAAATTTATAAACTATAATTAAATACTTGGCCAAAATTGACAAGATGAAATATCATTTTCCATAATTCCTAAATGTTTATAACAAGCAGCTACTAATTCAGAACAAAAGTAATTTTCCTTTTCAACTCCTGTAATTGACCTTTTTTTACAAAGTTTCATAATATTAGCTGAATATTTTTTACCATGATTCTTATAAACAAATTCTTATAATTTTATTAACAATGTCATATCCCTTTTAGTATATAATTATCTATAACTTATTTATGTTACATGATCTTTAAATTTACTTTACATTAAAGCATCCCAAGTATATATACAAACTCCATCATCACTATTAGCTTCAAAAACATGTAATACGTTTTTATTATTTCTTAAAACTAGAGCAACATGATCTAATTAATTTTATTGATATTTACCATATTCACTATTAGTTATGAATCTTTAAAATTAACATGCTATTGATTTATTTTTAAACAATAATAAATCTAGGGTTTCTGCTCTCTTCTCAAATATATCAAAAGGTATTTAATGTTAAAGGTAAAAGTTAGGTAAAGGATGTTGAAAACATTAAGGTTTTGATGTACTTATGTAATAATTAAGTGAGAGAATCCATTATTTACTATTGGTTAGAGATTAGAACTAAAATTAATGACTAAACACTGATAATTAAAAGACATCATTAGATAATATGGATAATTCTAATATATTATTTAATGAATACTAATAGGATATTGATTAAAGTCTAGAATGAATTCATTTTTATCTTTTCGTTATAAAACAAAAGTGTAATTACGAAGCATTCCTCTATAGATTATCTTGTCTTTAAGTAACAATCCTTCATGATCATAGAACTAATAATCTCATTAGTATTAAATGTATATACAGATTTAAATAGGATTGGTCTGTTTAAATTTTGATTTTTGTATGGTTATCAGATTTACATCTTCATTAATATCATTCCATTATTATTTCATTTAAATATATATGGATTCTAATTATGTATTAAAAGGTGATGAATTTATGATGAAAGGAGATAAAGCATTAAAAGGTAGGTATTTATAATAAAGAAAGGTTCAACTTTTGGAAATATTTTTGGATCGAAAGGAGAAAGAGCAGAAAAGGCTCTTGAATTGTATAAGTCAGCAGCAACACAATATAAATTGGGCAAGAAATGGGAAAAAGCATGTGAAGCATATTAACGTTGTATAACTTGTGATTAAACTCTAAAATCTGGAGAAACTGGTGATTTTTATGTTGAAGCAGCCAAAGCAATAAGTAATGTTAATAAAGCAGGTATACTAATATAATTTTGAGTATAGAATCAATACAATTATATGAAAAAGCAATAGAACATTATGCTAATGAGAATAGATTAGATAATGCCTCAAGATATAAGAAGGAAATTGCTTAAATTTATGAATCTGAGTTTGAATTCCATCTAGCAGTTAAAGCCTATTAAGAAGCAGCAGATTTATTCTAAGCAGATGGAAAAAGAATATCTGATTATAACTAAATGAGATTAAAAGTTGCAGAATTATCAACCTTAAATGCAACAGGTGATTTAATTGCAGCCATTAAGGTTTTTATAACATTTATTAATTAGATATTTGAAGATATTGGTGATAAATATATGGAAAATAAATTAACAGCTCCAAGTGCTAAAGAACTATACTTTAAATCATGTTTACTATATTTATGCAACAATGTAAAATATTATAATACAATTAAATATAGGATTCAGTAGGATGTGGTATTGCCCTTGAGAGATATTTAGATAAAGATCCTAGTTTTGGTTCAGCCAGATAATATAAATTTGTTGTTAATCTAATTAAAGCTGTTGACAATAATAATGTATAAATGTTTTCAGATGAATGGTAAAATATTTTAAAATAATTGCAGTTTT